CTCTGCTGAGCTTAACACCAGTGTGGGTGGTGAGTGCCAAGAGGCAGGCAGGGGTATCACCCCCGTTGCCCTTATATCAGTCCATGGAAGAAGTCGTCAGGTCACGCTCAGCAGTTTTGCCACAGCCATTAGCGGCTGGTCCATTCTGGCGTTTGTGTCTTGTCTGTGTGTGCGAGCAGGCAGCCACCATCTGCAGCATGAAGGAAAAGTGTGGGTGGGGTTGGCAAAACTTTGGACAAAAGCCATAATTTCCCTATGGCTTCATTGCTATTGTCTAAGATATCCTTTCCATCAGGAGCAGCAGCTAAACCTGCATTTGGTTGCTGGCCTGGGATAATGATACCTGGTACGATACCTGCATGGACCCAAAGGAAGGCATCCCAGGTCCCAGCTAAGCTTTAGGAAGAATCACTATACTGTCTCCCTGTTTCATCCATCTTCATCTGCTGCATCTCCAGGGTGTGTGTGCACTTTTTGTATCCATCTTGCTCATATTCAGGATCTGTTCATTTTTACTACAATAACCCACTTCTGTTGTGCTTCTCTTCCTCTCCTTTCATTCAGCTCTGAATATATCCAAAATGTTGCTAGGCAAATATTCAGCCTAGGTTGCTACTCTGATTGCATGTATATCCTTTGAATCTATTTATTGGCACCGTACATCTAGTTAGGGCTCTCCACTCTCCTTTATAGCGTTCTGTCAGCACAGTGCTGCCTTGCTGTTCTGCTCTCGTTTCTTATTAGTAGAGTCAGGTTGAAATGTTCAGCCAGGCTCTGGTAAATCAACATGGCTATGTGATTGTGACGACAAGCTGAAATGTCATTCTGAGAGGTTTGTACAGATGCAGATAGGATGACACTTCATGTTTTTTGCTTAAGTGCTTGATCAGCCATAAGATAGCTAAAGGTTAGTTTTTGCTTTGCCATTGCTGGGCTTGTGTTGGTCTCCCTGCTTAGATTAACCTGGTATTTCCCACTTCTCTGCTAGCTGCTCTTTCAGACTCCCTCCAGCTTCAGCAGGTATCACTGCACTGATTTACCTTTGGTTCCTGTTGTGAATGTTTTCTTTGCAACCATACAGCCTGGAGACTGATTTTAGTGTGAGCTTGTTGTGGATCAGGAGATGGTGGCCAACAGCAGGCAGCACTGAATGTTGTCAACTTGCATGTTTCAAACCCTAGCCAAGCCTCCAAAATGATACTGCCTTGCAGTCCATGACTTCTTTAACGTTGAATACTTGTTATTTATCCTCTGTTTTCCAAGAATGTACATGTGTAGAGATCATATTTTTTCAGACTCGTCTTAGTTATTGTGAGAGCTAAAATGCTGTATTTTTAACAGCGATCAGTGATTCTGACCATCTTGCCTTACCTGGAAAAGTGTTTTGGCTTCCTGTTCTCAGCTGAAAATGCCAGGCCTGATCTCAGCAGGATGCTTAGCATTGAGCTCAGGCTCTGCGGGAGACTTGAGCCTCACTGGTTACCACCTGTGGGGAGGACCATGGGTGCTATTTTTCCCAGTGGGGGCTGAGTAGAGGTTTGGAGGAAAGAGGGAGAGTTTGTGAATAAGCAGCCTGCTGCCCAAGTACTGCTCTGGGGTCCTGCTTGCTTGCAGAGGGAGTGACTCAGAGCTGCAATATGGAGTGGGAATACCAGATTAGGAAGAACGGATGAGAAAATTGCTGGCAATGGGGCACATTGACTTTCTTTTGTTTTCAATAGATGCACTGGTCTGGTTTTTGCAATGTTCAGCCCATTCGCCACATACCTTCATCCTTCAGTACAGGCAGTTCTGCTGGTTGCCCTACATCTGATCGTGCTGGAGCCAAAAGAAAGCCATAGGTGTAGCAAGGAGCTGGTGTGAGACCAGAACCTGGATCCATCTGGGCTGGGTGTTGTGTGTCTTGTGCTGCACACAAAGGACGGTGTCCCGTGCCCACATACAGCAGGTCTGGAGCAGAGTTGTTCTCCTGTAGTGATGCTCAGAGTAGCAGCAAAGGGACGGAGAAGCTCAGAAAAAAGCCACAGTCGTTTACATCCATGTTACTTTCCTTCTCCCACTGTCTTATCTGCAAGTTTGACTGAGCAGCTCTGATGCAATGCACTATCTCATCTATCACACCTGATGCAGTCATCACTGATCAACAGTGAAAATGTTTCCTGAACACACCTGCCATGATCTGAAGGATGATGATATTGAGCATGGGAATTTACAGGAGACAATAGCGATCTCAAAGGTCCAGTCTCCTGCTATCACTACAAGCAGACTGATTAGACTGATGGAGAACTGGCCCTTTTGGAGAAAGGCCCATGGGAGACAAGACAAGGCTGGGGCTGATAATATAGCACTGTGGCCTTGAACTTGCCTACTGTCAGGGATGAACTTAAGCGCTCCAAAGCGAAGACCCTCATTGCTGCCTACTCTGAATTTGGTTCCCGGTTTTCCATTTTCGCTCCTAATTACAAGAAGTGAGTCTTGTGTATAGTACCAAAATTTGCAGTAAGATCAGCACAATTGTTATTTCAGAAACATTTGTGCTTCTGTGCTGCTCGCATGCTTCTGAAAACCTCAGCTTGCATTACTGCTTCTGGTAGTTTCTGTTGTGCTGCTTGAGACCTCGGTTGCTCCCTCTCTTAAGTTTCCTCCACACTGTCGAAATCCCTGGACGAGACTAAAAGCAATATTTCCCTTCATCTGGACAGTAAAGACACGTTGGCACCCTGAACATGTTTGACACACATGAAATGTCTTCTGGGCTCTTACTAATAGCTTTGTCTGGTTCAGCTGGCTTAAATCCCTTTAAATTATATATAGATGTTGCAATGTCTAGACTACACCTGCCCATGGAGATAGCAGGTGGCAGCAGGGAGCAAGAAGATGCTGTAGCTCTAGCCTGTCACTGAAGACCTCTAAAGCAAAGTTACCCTTGGAGACAGCTATGCTGAAGAGTTAGTGGACATGCTGGGTCCCTGCCTCCTCGCTAGCATTGCTTTGCTGTGCTTTTTACTTTGTAAAATTAGGCTGATCAGAAAATGTCAACCATAAATAAGCTAAATTTTCTACTCTGCCTTGAGGCTGAAAGTCCTGGGGTTGGCGTTTGGGGATTTATTATTATTATTTTAACATCCTTTCTGTGTGGGAAATACAGGAGCTCCGTGAGGCGGTTTAAAAGCCCTGCGT